AAAGCAGCAAGGGGTGGGTGGTGAGCAAGGGGTGGGTGGTGAGGACCAAGGGATAAAAGATAAGCGAAGGTGGTAATAAGACATGAAGGTAACAGAACTGCACTGATATTATTTGAGTGGTCACTGATTTCTATTTTATACATATATTCCCTCCAACTGGTTACGGCGCGTGCGTGCGCGCGCGCGTGCGTGCGTGCATGCATGCGTGTGTGCGTGCGTGTGTACGTGCATGCGTGCGTGTGTACGTGTCTGCGTGTGCAGCAATTTGTGATTTACTTTCTTTACCCGTGGAGGCAGCTAGCTGCCCCACATGCTGGTTAGTAGTTACGTCATGCAGTCTATTCATGAATCTCCTCAAGTTTACACATTTGAATATTGCCTCTGAGCGGCGACTCAATGCTGCTCTCTGTGTGTGTGTGTGATGTCGGCTGCGCATATATTTGCTTTGTCGTGTGCCTTGCTAACTCGACTTTATTACGAGTCTATCATGTAGTATCGGGGTCATGTATCGGGGCCGGTACGGTTCTGTTTGTATGTGCGTTTGTGAACCAGCCACTGATCTCAACTATATTAACTGTTATATATAACTACTATACTGTTAGTATAGTAGAGATCAGTGGAACCAGCAAATTGTGATCATGATGTATAAAACTACGCGTTTATACGTACTAACGTTATGTCACACTATTGGGTAAGAACAGATTTGTCTATATATCTGTATTTGCGTTCGTACTGGTGATTAAATCTTGGAAGTTTTGTGCAAAAGTGAGACAGTTTTTGGGTTGTTTTCGTGTGTTCTGTCAAGCCGGTGTATACGTAGGACAGACACTCGCTGCAACGCGCGCGCGTGCGTGCGTGTGTATGTGTGTGCATTCATGCGTGTGTGCAAGTGCATGCATTCATGCGTGTATGCGAGTGCGTGTCTGCGTGTGTGTGCGAGTGCGTGCGTGCATGCATGCGTGTGTGCAAGTGCGTGCGTGTGCAAGTGTGTGCGAGTGCGTGCGTGCGTGTGTGCGAGTGCGTGCGTGCGTGTGTGTTTGAGTGTGTGCGTGCGTGCGAGTGTGTGCGTGCAAGCGTGTGTGCGAGTGTGTGCGTGCGAGTGTGCGTGCGAGTGTGTGCGTGCGTGCGTGCGTGCGAGTTAGATCCAGTCCGTATGTCAATAGCATTTCTTTTGTCCATTTGAGGCTGAGGATGTGCAGTCTGCCCTGGAGGCCACAGGACTCGCGTAGGACTTACTAGTACAGAGAGCCACAGTACAGACACGCAGACAGAAAGAGGGAGAGAGAGAGAGAGAGAGAGGTGCCCGGGCAGGCGAGAGGGAGACAAATCAGGCAACAGCAGCAGCAGCAGCAGCAGCAGAGAAGAGCGCGGGGGAGAACGGAAATGTCCATCCTTATTAGCCATCTATGGACGCGCCCACGTTGCCTAGACGACGCGCCCACGTTGCCTAGACGACGCGCCCACGTTGCCTAGATGACGCCATGCTGTCGCGCCCACGTTGCCTAGACGACGCCATGCTGTCGCGCCAAGGCCCGAAGAACAGTCAAGGACGAGGTGACGATGGTCGGTTGCCGTGGAAACGCGCGTCATTGTGACTGATGCGACGGTATCGGGTTGCCGTGAGAAATACGCTGTACCCTAGGACGGACCAACGCGTCGCCATGGAAACGTAACACAGTGTGCGTGGCAGTGAAACGGTGGCTCGCAAGCGTACGTCTGTAACGTGATGCGATGAGAATGCGATGCAATGCAGGAGGCTGACAAGAAGACAGCGAGAGAGCGGGGGATGAGGAGAGAGAGAGAGAAGAGAAGAGATGGAGAAGGAAGAGATATCTCTGTAGAAAGCTTGCGTGCTGCTCGCTTGAACCCCGTTCCTAGCTGCAGCCGCGGCTCCTCACCGGTCGCCGCGTGTGCGCAACCGACCCTGGGAATGAAAGCGTTAAGATGCCCCCCACCACCATCACCATGGTGACTCCACCGTCGCAGGAGTCTGCCGTCCCATGCTTTGTCTCGCGCACGCGTGATGTCACACGTGCCCCGCGATCCCAACACTCCGCCCTAATCCTCCATTGTGAAGGCATCCGATCCGGAAATATTTCGACGGGTTTTGTTGTAGTTGCGCGTGGCAGGGAGAGTGCGGATTGCTGGTTAGAGACGTATGGCACTCGGTCCTGTATGTCGTGCGTGTCGCTATCGTCTGCTAACAGCGTTCTTGTGTTTGTGCAGGAGGAAACTCCACAAGGGTTCTTTGAGGATCACGGTCTCGGTTGATGCACCTCTCGTCTGCTCCAACGGCGCCACCTGCAGTCTCCACCGCAAATCTATTTCGTTGTTGCGTCTTTCGCTTACCTGTGTCGCAGTAGCGCCCTCTGTCTGTGTCGTCGTCGTTTTCACCGCCGGCATATAACCTGCGCGTAAAGGATTGTTCTATTGTTTTTGTCTGTATCTTCTTATCGTGTCTCGCATAATCTCTACGTTCGAATCTCGTCTCGAGTACTCCAACAGGTGGCAGCATCAGCATGCACTCTGCCAGGGTTTTGAGCACTGATCTCTTTATACTAACTGGATAGCTCTTAGTGGCCAATAGATGAAGTCACCAGACGCCATGACACCACTCCTCGAACTAGCGTCAGGCCAATAGGCTGAGCCGAATTTTCACGTGACCCGTGACGTCACATCCAAAACCACTATGACTAAAAGACCATCATATCTTTTGTCTGTCTTTTTCACGCTATATATATATATATATCTATCTATCTATAAATATATAGGAATTCTGTCATGTATTTATCAAAGCTTGTTTTCATGAAAAATCAACTGCATTTTGTCATTATCCAATTGGAAATGTTGTGGTGCGCACTCCGGCAGATATAAGCTTTTGGGAGTGGTGGCAAGATGGCGGCAGTGACGTCACTTTGTTACTAATCGTGGATAGGCTAAAGCACTATCCAGATACTATATAGAGATCAGTGGTTATGAGCATAAATTCCATGCTGCCACCTGGTGGCGAGGTGTGTCCCCGGTGTGACGTGACTCACTAGGCTGCTATAAGCATGTTAGGTGAGTTTATCTGCAATGATCCTATGCACTGTGGCAAGGTAGATAGGTAGTCGTAATAAAGGAAGGAGTTAAGGGATAAAGTTTGATAAGTTGAGTTTCATCCAACGAGGTAACGCCCCGGTGTTACACTGTAATACATTGTAACACCTTGCAATACAATCAAACACCTTGTAATACCTTCTAACACTTTGAAATATCATGTGATTTTCCTTCGTGTCAATTCTGTAGTACATTTATCATCATGCCGTCTGCGTGTCTAGGTTGTGGCCGTATTTAAAATTTCACGCAAGGAATGGTCGATTCTTTTTCGAAATAAGCACTTTGCTACAAATACTTGAGCTTGTATGTAAAAAGTATGATATTTTGTAGTGAAAACCACGCGCAGTATGTACGAACCATCGCGGCAGTTGTACTACACGAACTTTCAATAATACACAGTCAATGTATTGATGAAACAATATTAAAGGTATAGTAGCCACATTAAAAATAATAATGATAACAGTGTATAATAAAAAAGTAATGAATTTAAATGGTTGCTTGCATCTAGTTTTCTGACGAAAAGATGTTGGTGTAAACTAGCATACTAGAGTAGTACTCGGTTTGTGTTCTTATCTATGATGTGACAGCCATAGACCTTCCTATGATACTCACATACGTCTATAAACCATGGTGACAGCTAGCCGTGAAGAATCGCCTGTTTCTCTGTTACTTTTTTTATACAGTGTTAATGAGTTAATGCAGTCGATGTAATGGGTTAATACAGTGGTAACATGTTGACACAGTGTTAATGAGTTAATGCAGTCTTAACGTGTTAATACAGTGGTAACATGTTGACACAGTGTTAATGAGTTTAAGATGTAGCGGTGTTGAAGTGTTAATCAATGGGTACACATGTTGACAGCAGTGTTAATCGAGTTACATGCAGTCTTAACGTAGTTAATAGAGTGGTAACATAATGTTGACACAGTGTAAATGAGTATAATGTAAGTGCTAACGTGTTAATAGGTGGTAACTGTTGACAGCAGTGTTATGAGTTAATGCAGTCTTTAACTGTTAATAGAGTGGTAACATTGTTACACAGTTGTTAATGAGTTATGTAGTGTTAAACGTGTTTAATTACAGTGGTACATTGTATGACATCAGGTGTTAATGAGTTAAATACAGTGGTAACATGTTGACACAGGGTTAATGAGTTAATGTAGTGTTAACGTGTTAGCGCGTGGGCGTTATGCTATGTTAAGCATTGCAGATATTACAGCATGTTACGTGTTAACGCGGCAGTTTTAATGCAAGCACGATGTGTTTAAATACGGTGTCAATTCCTGATGTGTTAAGTACTAGGGGTATAATATTATTACAAGAAGCGATGCTTGCCTGTGATTTCTGTGATCATGGGCATGGCTTAGTAGTAGTAGTAGAGATCATGAAACGCCGCGATGACGCAATCACTTACGTATGTGGATGAGTCATGGTCTTAGAAGGCGAGTTTGCCGCTAGATGTGCGTGCGTGCGTGAGCCTGTGGTTGCGGGCGTGCGTGCGTGCCTGCGTACATACGTGGCGTGGGCGCGTGCGGGTCAGTGGGCTTGCGTACCATGGCGTGCGTGAGCGTGGCGCGTGCGTGCGTGCGTGCGTGCTGTGGTGTTGGGTGCCGTCGCGTGCGTTGTGGGTGGTGCGGCGTGGCGGTGTGGAACGGCGCGTGAGCGCGTGTGTGCCGTCGGTTGGAGCTGCGTGCGTGCGTTGCGCGTGCGTGGCGTGCCGTCTCTGTGCGTTGTCGTAGCCCTACGTGCGTGCGTCGTGTGCGTGTGTGCGTGCGTACGTGCGTGCGTTGCTGCCCGTAGCATATGCGTGCTGTGCGTGGCGCGACACCCCGGTTGCAGTGCGTGCGTGCGCTCGCAGTAAGAGGTCGCATCTGATGAAAGATCAAAGCTGAAGCGTTTAGCAAGGCTGCCTGCAGTGGAACGGTGACCGTAGTGTTAGAGCGGAGGTATAAGGTAGTATATATATATATATATATATATATATATAGTAAAATCGAGGGAAGGGTCGAGTAGTAGTGCATGCCGTGAGATTCTATATAAACTAAGCAAGCATGCGATGTTAGGGAGTGGGGTGAACTGAGTCTCAGAACATTCCTATCAATGTATACCTGCATGTGTGAAGTCCTGTTTCGGGGTATAGTACATTTGCGTGTGTGCGCGCGTGCGCGTGACCACGCACACGTCAGTACGCGTGTGTGCGTGCATATGTGAGCGTGGTTGTGTATGCAGTAAATCGCTGTGAATGTATCATGCTAGGCATAATTGTAGCGTCGGTTTTTGTTTGGCATAATAGCGTAAATGTGCCTGCCTACGTACGTGCGTGCGTGCGTGCGTACATACGTGCGTGCGTGTCTTCAGACAAACACGTGTACGTGCGTGCCTGCGTACATACATACATGTGTACGTGCGTGTCTGCGTGCGTGCGTGCATACGTACGTGCGTGGTGCGTGCCTGCGTACGTGCGTGCGTGCTTCCGTACGTGCGTGCGTGCGTGCCTGCGTGCGTGCGTGCGTGCATACGTGCGTGCGTTCGTGCCTGCATGCGTGCGTACGTGCGTGCGTGCGTGCGTGCCTGCGTGCGTGCATACGTGCGTGCGT